TCCCTACTTCCCTAAGACTGTGCAACACCTCTCAGCAGCACTCACATTTCTTCCTTGGACTTGTAACAGGTATAAAATCAAAATGTCTACTTGCCATCTATGACTGCCACTGATGTGTTATAAACTTGATCAGACTATTAAATAATCAATCTTTCTCCTTCACACCACATCAGTGGTAGGTACTAGTGGAGACCATTAGAAAATCAGGAGAACCATTATAAGTAATCACTTTTGCTAATAAAAATTTAAATCTTGTTCCTAGTGTATGACAGTACAGACAAAAAGCAGAAAAAGTAAAATGGAGAGTAAGGAAGAAGAACAAGGGGGAACTGGTACTCTTTCTGCTGTCAGGTTCTTGGTGAATTTCCTGGTGGTTTGCCTTGACTAGTAGGATGTTTGGTTCCCTGCTAACCCATAAGTTAAAGCAAACACGAATTTAAGAGATGGGTACCAGCTAAGAGGCACACACCAACTGAATAGGTGATTTGTATCACTGACAAAGAGATTACCTAAATCTGAGCTGGCCCTATTTGCTTTCCAGATAAGGTGGGAAAAAAACAACCAACCAAACACTAAACCTACCAACCAAAAACATTATGCAGAAACACCTCTATTTCCTTCCTCACGATAATAGGCAGACTTCAAAGACTTTTTAAATTACAAAGTTCACTTTTCTTTCTACATTCTTAGCAAGCTTATCTGACTATATTATATTTGTACCTGGGAAAGGTCCATTTTCAGAAAGAAAATGCAGACAAATACAATTACTTAGGTATTAATAAGGATTTCAAGATATAAGCTCTGAATAATGCAACCTGACATAATGGATATCAAAATACAAGTTAATGATTTCATCTCTAACATAATAGCAGTCTAGCCTGTTGTTAAATTTTTAAGCTTTTAAACTCTTCAGTGAACCAGTTTTGATCAAAAACTGTAATAGATCACACCTTTATGACAGCCATGCTGATTTATGTAGATTAGTTCCTTTTCTTAAATTGCCTTAACTGGAGGTAAGGCTTTATAAAGAACACAAATGGACATCACTTTGTGAACTTTGTTATACTGATTCATCAAAAGGAACTAATCTGTGCTGTTCCAACATACAAATAAACAAATTATCCATGCTAATGAAATGTTTAAGTAGTTCTAAACAACAGATGGGATTAGAAGGATTATAGAAAAGGTTATTCCTTAGTACAAATAATTTTAAAAGAATGAACTCATCATCCATTGAAGTAGTTTCCATTCAATCTGTAAAATATATAAAGTGGGCATAGATGGAGAACATTAATTTAGAACTGGAAAAGCTTTCTTGAAATTTGGAAACTGCTTAACTTCTACGCAAGAGTTAAGTAACTAAGAATGTGTATCTCATCATACATGTTAATTCTCTCTCTTTCTCTTTTTTCTCAAGGTTTTCGACTCTCAGTTTCAAAATCTCTGCAAAAGGCAGAAGATGAATATATGTTCCTAACCACATTAAATCTAGGAAAAACTCTTCGAAATGGAGATAGAACTGTGAGCAGAGGCACTATACCTTTGGTGATGCATTATAAGACTGAAGACAGCAGCATTTTGAATGAAGAGGATGACAGAAAGATGAAGTTTTTGGTGAGTTTTCAGTTTTATGTATTGTAAAATGAAAATTCTCTTTATGTCCCTTTAAAAAACAAATATAATTTAAAGCAATAATCTGGTGAATATACAAAAATATCAGTTTAGCATACTATAATCAAGAATGAACTTTTAAGTGTAAGTATCTAATTCCTAGACTTTTAAATGTGTAACTTGGACAGTTGATTAGACGAAATACAATTTTTACAGAACTATATGTAGCAAAGACAAGGGGGGAAAAAAGCCTATATTTGTGTGATTCAGCATGTCCCTATATGCAGCAACAGGTTTTTAACTTCACCAAATATAAGACTCATTTTATCATGATCTTTACCATAAAAACATTTCAGCCAGAGATGTAATGCAGGTCATTACTTTTAAAATACCAGCTTGAAAGATAAAATACTTGCACTGCTAAGTATAAAAACTGGAATATAAGAAGTGAAAATAACTAATTTAAAGATAAACTGCTACTCTTGTTTTTCTTTAAAACAGGACACAGGTTCCAGACATGATTTCTTAAATCATGTTATGCCAATCAACACGGGTAGAAAGCAACTACCTTACCTTGCACTGAAGAGAACTATGGTTTTTCCAGCTGACACTGAAATTCGAAATATTGAACCAATACAGGAAAGAGAGACTGCAGATGAAGAAAATTCACCTAAATTCCCTATAGGAAGAAGAGATTTTGACGGCAAGTATATTTCCATTTTTACACAAAAATTATTTCATTCTGGTAAAATATAAAGCAATGTCTATATAGCAATTTGATAAAGGTTCATTTAGAAACTCCATGTCTACTGTGATTCAGTACACAAGGGAGGAAGCATCTGTTAAATTTATTAAATTAGTATTTCCATAGGCCATAAAGATTTCTAGTTCTTTCATGATTTAATCTGTCAGCTATTTTTCCCCCCCCCAATAGTGCTCAGGTGTATGCTAGGAAGAGTCTATCGACCTTGTTGGCAAATCTGAAAACTACTGATCTGCAGCACCTCCTTTGAAGATCAAACATTTTATTATGAATTTAATGTAATTTGAAGTTACTGTGTTTCAGTGTGGCTACATGTATGCATCAAAAAATATATTCCCATCACATTGTAGTGGGAAACATAAATCATTACCAAAAAAGAACGTCTGTAATTACTAATGATGTACTGTTATAAAAAAATAAAATACTTCTGCATAATCCAGACCTGTAAGTATTTGTCTAATATTACACACAAGCTACTTCCACTTATTTGAGTGTGAAAGGAAGCAATAACAAATTTCACCTTATTTTCACAAAATTTTACATCTTCTGAACCAGTCAACGCACCATGTATGTCAAAGCAAAAACTTACAGTCGAAAAAATTGAGTTAATTTTGCCTGACCAGCAATCAACTTATCCTTGGTTGCAGTTTTGCTGTGTTTTCTTTTTCCAGTGATTTTGCTGTCCAATTCCTTCTGAGGACTGTTTGAAGTCTTAGATCTTTTAGTATTTTTTTGCAAAGATGGTTCACTTTCCTTATCACAGATTACTTTGTCATTATTCAAATCCATCTGTTCATTCTTGGAGTTCTTGTTTCTTGGCTGACAACTGAGCTTTCCCATTTCTGTATAACTTCTAGTCTGGTGAACATTTTCAGAAATAGTTCCAAGCACTGGTACATCAAGACATGAATTCATACCTTCTGTCATGTAAGAATATCAAAAACATATGTGAAGAAATAAAAAGTTACCTGGGATTATCCATCCTTTTTCTATCAGAGGACTGTCATGTAATTTTTTAATCAAAACTAGTGCATTATCAGTAAACTATGCTGCTTATGCAGTTAAATTTTCTATGTGTTCATAAGTGCATTCCCAATTTAAAATTACATTACTCAAAAACATGTAATAGCAACTAACTTAGGAAAATAGATTTATAACTTTAAGATACTGAAAAAGATGTTTAAAGGGCCCAGAAATAAATCATATATATGATATGATTTATAGTGAAGTGAAAGTAATTTTTCCCTTTCTTAATAGCAAAAATACAAATTTCACTTGTCTCACTTTTCGAAAAAAGAAGAAACATTACATAATGTATGTAAAGTGTAAATTTTTTTTACCTCAAGATAGCAATACATATTTTTCAAGCAGATTCATATTTTCAAAGCATTAGCATTACAATTTTAATGCAAAGACATTTAACTGATATAGCATACATGGAGCAATGACAGTCTTTTCTTGAAAACATTCATACTTGATCTTTACTAAAGTTTTGTTTGATAACATCTAAAATATTAGCTGTCTTATTTACCTATTCAGTCCTGCTACAGCTTACCTGTGACATGTCCAGTTTTTAACTGTTGCTTTGGTGCAGGATTTGTGCACACTGGAATTTGGCTACTGCCGAGGAAATGCCGACCATTTATTTCACTGAATTCCGTTTTATATGTACATGCAAACTGAGATTTGACTGAAGGTTGCTTCATCTGCAAAAAGCAATTTGGTACTAGCTTTAACTATTTACAAAAGTAAAAGACAACAAAACAGTAACATAATGTTTCCATATTCTTATGTCATGAAAGCTTTCAGATCACACAAAAAAAAACACACCAAAAAAAAAACCCACACCACCAGAAAAATGAGTTTGCTCACATAAAAAAATATTTGTGAAGTATTCATTTACAAAGCGCACAGGGTTTCAATACTAACAGTAAATTATTCTATTAAAGTCCTAAAATAATTTTTAAAACTTCTTTAATCTCTCTCAGAAAATTACACATTGACAGAAAAACTTAGATTGAAGCTTTAAAAATTAGTTAGCCCCCACATTTGATGGACTGCAGACTACTATTTTGAATAGCTGTCATAGCTACAGTTAATTATCATAATTCCACAGGTCGTCATCTTTGAGATGTCAGCTCAGAAATGTCAAGTATAGGATGAGTTTCACCATTTCACCAATTCAAACAGAGGAAAGCATAATAGAAATACTGAAAAGGAATGATAGATAATATAAACTAAGCTTTAGTATACTTATACCTAAAAACTGGAATATAAAGTATTATTTCCGATCTTTCTTTGGCAAATGCATGTTAAAATCTTAGTGTTTGGGTTAGATCCTTATAGAAATACTTTTCCTCCAACACAAAATCTCAGTCTTAGACAGAAAGAAAAGAATATGTTCCCAGAAACCTGCTTTCATAAAGGCCTTCATCCACAGAATTCAGTCATAATTTATGCCACTTACATCAATACTGTTTCCATGCATATAAGCTAAGCTAACAGACTAGTCACTGAGACACAACACAAGTATCTCTTTGTGATAACTGCAGTTGGTCAGATGAACACACCTAGACTTTTTTTGGGGGCAAAAAAGTCCCGTAAGTTTACAGAAACAGTTCTTTCTGATTTAATAAGCCTGTACATATATATTTTTACTTTAAGACTCAGTATTCCCAATTTTCCCAGCTGTTTATCCCTCCCAAACTGCAATTTACCTATGCCAGATAACAGACTGAAAAAGAAAGGTGGATTTAACGGGGAGAAGTAGCCAGCCTGACTCTCAACGATTCTATTATTTAGGTGTTAATCTACTCTGTACTTAAAACATTTACCTTAAGACAATATACATAGCCATTTACAAGGCTTTGTGTGCTTCAAGTTTATGTTTTAGCTCACCGAGTCATTAAATGTATGCCATTAACTTTATAGTCTTTTCGGAAAGCGTTTTGAAGGATGGAGAAGCTACACCCAGAATAAGCTTAAGAATGTGAAATAATTAAAAATGCAACTCTAATATAGTTCAAACTTAATGAACATCTAATTGTACAATTACAATATTCAGAATATAGAGGGCTTACATTTTCTTTAAGCTTAACGTTACTATAATACAAATGGAAAATATTCTTCTGTACTTGCTGTTTCTTAAACACTTCATGTCAATCTTTAAAATTCCCTCAATTCTTATTTATTGTTCAGTAAATGCCACACATTAAAAAATATGCAACAATAACTTGCACAGAGTTCTACCACATATTCATATTGCAAGAGGCAAATAAACTAAAATTTGCGCTGAGTTGATAAAGCTATAACAAACACAGCACAAAACATCAAACTTGAGTAAGAAAGCCTGATAGTTACCATTCTATAACCAAAAATAAATCCAGTTACTTTTTGAGATATTAGGGTTTCTTTTTACCATCCATTTAATGCTTCACTAATTCATTTTGCAGGGATTAAAAAAACAGAGTAAAAGGACAGAAGTCAAGCTCAAATACTGAAACACTTGCTGCATAAACCCATCTGTCTGTTTCAACTTCAGTGAAGCTTGAAATAGGCCTCCAAACTTCTCTCCATATTGCATCACATACCATTTAATCATTTGCAAACAGTAGACAAAGGTTTACCAATATATGACTGTTTCAGCTGATGCTAATACAAATCTACAGGGTATATATAAATCAAGAGTGCAAGACTAAATTTGTTGAAGCAGTCAGACTTCCCAACTAGTCTAGGAATGGATATTCTCTAGTAAAAACAACTGTACTACATTGAATGAAGTAGCAATAAGTAAATTTTAGTGGACTGAAGGCAGAACAAAAGAGCACAAGTCGAGTACTGAATTAAAAAGTAGAGCTTCACTGGAATGTTTTTAAGGAAAAAAGAGCAACTTAAAACGTTATTGAAGCACACATAATGAAGCCTGTTAACAGCCTGAAATAGCTCTTAGAAATCAGAGATCTTTTACATTAAATTCCCTGAAATCCACTGCTTTGAGGGCATCAGCCTGATGACCTACAGCTCTGGGAGAGCAAAAATACATCGGAGCTCAGTTTGCTAATCAAGTAGTTGCACACAAATGGCATGCAAATGCACATAAATGGCAAAACTCAGACTTAGTATCCCCTCTCCTCTTCACAAGCAACTGGGATGTTGCTTTTATAACTATACAAAAAAAGAAATGCTGCCGCATTTCAGAAAAAGGGGTTCGCTGTTATCACTGTTCAGCTGGAAGAAAGTATGTTAGAATTTAAGACTTTTTTAGTGCATGTAGGTCAACTAGTAGTATTAATGAGTAAAGGAAGCAGGACATCCTCCCACTTTGATTTCTATATCTAGAGAAGTTTTTCAGTTGTTCAAAATATAAACATTCACTTTTACGTGCAATATTAATGGTGCATGCTCTATTTATTTCTAAAAGTTAGTTGATAATCTGTTCCAGATCTCCTTTCAGCATCTGCATACAGACAGTACTGCCAGTATTTAGTCACTAAGAATGTTGAGATTTGGGTTTTATACACTGGAATGGCATAATAGAATTTGAAAACCTACATCAGTAACAACAAACACATGTTTTTATTTTCTAGCCAAACAATTAGAAAGCTATTTGGAAGGGGAAAACAGATAAAAAGAAAAAATGTCTTTTCTTACCCTTGTCCTTTTAGAGGAAAAAAAAAAGGTAAGTTGAAAAAGAAAATTGAAAAAAGAAAGGGCATGCAAAGGAAAGAATAAATGGTAAGTATCATTGCCAAACCAAGGCATCATATTATCCAAACATGAACCAAACATGAAAAATGTCCTGAATAGCTCAGGTAATAGCAAGCTCTTATTGTACTGAAACTATCACATTTTTTTAGCATGACATTGTACCAGCCTTTTGCTATCCCAAATTAACCTATGACTGTTTTGAGAGCATTTTGCCTCAAATCACCTCATTATTGGGTTTCAAAAGTATTCAGAACTCACAGCTATGGGTACTAGGAAAGTAGCTTAGGGGTCTTGAAACTAAATGGTATTTTCTACACAAGTGTACTTTATCAACTGAAACTAATAATAAAGTCTTACCTCAGATTTTGTGCTGAACATAACCTTTTTCTCCTCTCCTACACTTTCCTCCATACACTCATTCTTAGCATACTCCACACACACTGAAGCTGCAAGTCAGCTTAGTGTTCTCCATAATTATATTCCATTTAGAAATAAATACTTCTTGCTACAGTAGATGAGACTGCTACCTGATAAAGATTGTTTTCTCTAATACTATGAGTTTTCTGTTCACAATTATAGTGGGCATACAGAAACCTCTTGATAACTTCCTGTTGTTAGCTTTCCAAGTCACAGTTTATTTGTATTGGAATCACAAATAGGCAAAACAATTCTCTCAAGTAACAGCATTTGGAGAACTAAGCAATGAAAAATAACAGCAGTGCATGAAGCTAGATATTAAGTCATTTTATATAGGCATGAACAACTCACATGAGAAAGGCAGACAGGGATTTTTTGCTTTGTGGAGCTTTTTCCTTGGAAGGATTTCTATACACAGTAAAATTACAATGAACTTCAAGCATGCCAAGTTTTGTTAGAGTTCTTAAGCCATAAATTCTTTTTAAAACTAAAACTACAGTTATGTTCCCAACTGGAGGGAAATAGTGCCTCATATAGGAAAGGTTGTCTCCAGTTACATTAAGAAAAACACATGCCAAACTACTGAAAGTCCTTGCAGCTGTTTCAGGGTAAATGTGTTAACAATGCAGTAGGATTTCTAAAACAATGTATCAAAAGGCCAAAACAATCCTAAGTTTAAGAAAAAAAAAAAAAAATCTGTTACTCTCTCATATATTGCATGCTCATACCCTAATAGCTTTTGTTGCTTCCTTCTTAACTCCTAAAGTTCAGTTTCACCCTATCCCATTAGTTCAGGAACAGTACATAGAACTTAAAAGTGTAATTAATCTTTTCTGATGCAGAATAAAGATGAAAATCTTATTATGCACCATTTTTGTTGTCTTAAGTTGCTCTTTAACCTAAACAAGGCAGGTGACTAACAGACCTTCTTTCCCCCCACCTCACCAATAAACAGGATTTACATAACCTGATGGAAATTAGCAAAATAAGGAATCAAACAATAGGGTATCTACCTATTTCAGGTACATGGAATTATGATTTGAAGAAGTAGACATAAGGTTAGATAAACCTTTGTTAGATCAAATACCTCTCCTGTGTAATTAAATTTTCTATATATTTTTATAAAGCAGAAAAGAGTGATAAGGGCAACTGACAAGAGACATAATTCAATAGACTTTCTATAGACCTTTCTGAATTAAAGACTCTTTCCACAAAACAGCATTCAGCAGAAGACACTTCGCTTAAAAAACAGATAGACTTGAAACTCTAAACTGTCTCTCAAAGAAAGATTGAGTTTCTCATTATTAGTCTTACCTGCTTCTGCTAGAGTGAATTAAAAAATTCAACATGCTAGTTCCCCAGACTTCTTTCTTCTCAAGGGATAAGAGCTACAGCTTTGCCTCCTAACAAATGCCATTATAGTTAGGTGATCTTTCTGCATCTCTTCCAGTATTTAATGAGGATAGAAAGACAAAAATATTTCTTTGTCTTTCACTGTTGCCAGGAATTTGTTTTGGCACAATGGAAATACCCACAGATTTATTTTATTTTTAAACACCAATTCCAGTTCATAGCTACTTGTCAACTTCATCCAGTCTCCTTATTTTTAGATACTAAACACATACACATGATGTGCTCTAGGTCTAAATATTATCCATCTCCACTCCTCCATACAGTTCTTCAGAAGTTGAGAGATCAGTTCCTCTTAAGGAAGGAGAGGGCATAATGATTTTTTCTCTCTTTCCTCCCTCCCCTCTCCCCCTTCTTTTTTTTTTTTTTTTCTTTTGGGGGGTGAGGGAGAGTTGAAGGTGTTTCTCCTTTCATTTTCTAGATTTTCCTAAACTTCTATATTCGACACATACATCCTGATGGGACTAAGCATACAAACTAATCATCACTACCATGTTTTCCTTCTGCTATCAAATGTCATGGAAAATGAGACTTTTATGGGACAAGTTCTAATGAGACATCACAAATCTGTACTATAGACTAACCTCTAACCACCTGTCAGAGGCAGCATGCTAAAAAGGTCCTTAGGACAATTTTATAGAACTAATGCTATCATCACACACACTGCAGAAGAAATGTCTCAGAATAATCAGTGATATAGAGAAGAAACATCATGTTGCTATTGTTTTATTAAAAAAAACCCCATGGTATCCCTTCTGAGTCGATTGTTAAAATGAGGGCATTATGCATAACAAAATTTACAACTGTGAATTTTACAAGTAACCTGTAAGATGGTTGTATTAATAATAATGAAGACTGATATTCGGTATAAGAAGGTGACAAATATTAATCCAGCACTTGAGATCTATGGTCATGGACAAGGATGTCATTGTGCTATGCACTGCGCAGTAAAGACAGAACAAGATTTATTTCTACCAAGAGACATTACAATCAAAGACAAGAAATATATGGATTCACGGAGAAAGGAACTGAAATCAGTCATTATAATGGGCATCTATCTCAACACAAAGCACTGCTAGGTTTTGGGGAGAGGTTGATTTAAAGGTACTGAAGAAGGTTTTAAAGGAGGGTAATGAGTTCTGCAGATACCTATAGGAAATCTCTTCAGCCATAAGAAACAGTATAAACCAGTATAAAATATGAAAGAGCTAGTCTGAAAATTAACAAATGAACAATGAATATCGGTATTGCAGGCTGAATGTAAGCAAGGACAGATACCTCTGAACAGCAAATCAATAATAACCAATGGGTTGACATAGGTTAAAACAAGTAGTTTATATGCACTATAATGTATAGAGACAGACTGAGATGCAAACAGAAGAATGACATCTTGTGTCTAATCACCTTGGTAACTTTTTTTTACAGCAATCTCAAGTGAAGAAAGACAGGACAAAGCTGCAGCTATCAAGTCCAAGAAAAATACACAGCAGCACATCAAAAAGCTAAATGAACATTTCATAAGTTATAGTTGAGTGGACATACATAGAGAAGAACATATTCCAGAGATATTATAGACTTAAAAAGTAACAGGTAGGATACCATCCTCAATGTTAAATATACCAGGAAAGACAGACATACCACCTCAAGATTAACAGCTGGGTATTGGGAGAATGGTATAGAAGTAATAAAAGATATCAGTGTTTACAGAGAAAATACTTAGGTCAGGTGTAGATCTGTGAACTGCTCATAGAAAGATGCTAGCTTAAATTCTATCTGTAAATGTATTCATCCACAAAAAATGTACTGAAAGAGAACAGAAAGACAGGGCCCTTCCTATAAAAACTTCACAGAAAAAGGAAGAAAAGAAAGGAGTAGCAACATGCAAAAGAATGTCTGTAGAAATTGTTAGAAAGGCAGAAATAAAAACAGAAAAAGACAAAATTAAAGAAGACTGTTTCAAGAAAGCAAGCAGGAGTTTATGTAAGAAAATGGAGATCAAGGATAAATGACAGAGAGCTACCTGAGTTTTAGTTACAAGTCATTAGTTGTTTGGCAACAGCAATTTTAGCTCACTGGAAGGAGAAACAAGTCTAAAGTGAACATAGGAATGCCAGAAGAATAATTCCAGATTTCACAGGAATATAGTGTAGTTTAGATGGTATTGTTTGGCTGATACACAGAAAAAGAGAATTACAAACATCAAGTGAAACACTCAAATATCGTAAGAAGACACTATGCTGATATGTAACTGATGAAAAATTACATTCTGAACTGCATGATTTTTATTTTCATTTTTTTAAATGGAAAAACATCTTGAAATATTTGGCCTCAGTTTCATGCTGTATTTTGTCTCTGTGGTACAATAGGATGCACTGGAAGAAAGCCATAAAGAAGACTGATGTGATTGCTAGAGGCAGTATAGCAGCCACAGTGTTGCTCTAAGATACAAGTTGTATAGCTCCAAGCAGCCATCCATTTTAACATGTTAATCACACGTTACCATCCATATTGCTAAAGTAGGGGAACAGAGTCCACCATCACAGATTTGATTTACAAAAGCTAAGACTATGAGCAAGTTTACAGTCTTCTGAGATGCCAAAGAAAGTTTACAAGTATGAAGCACAGATTTAAAACCTGCTGCTTGTTCTCCTTGAATTTTGGTTTTCATAAGACAAAAGGTCATTTATATTTTCAATTAGCTTAGGCATCTGATGAGCATCAAAATCAGTCCTAGAATTTGACTGAAATATCAAAAATTATTGGTTAAAAACATTAGATGTTTCACTCTATTTTGCTACAGGTATATTTTATTTTGTCAATCATGGTGAAGCAAGACTAGGACAAGAGTCCTACAGAAAAAGACAGATTCTTGTATTGTATTAACAAGGATCATAGGAGCCACAGAACCCTTATGAGAGTCAGGCATTACAAAAGCAGCACAGGAGAGTGGCAAGATGACCCTTTGGCATGCAAATCCTGCTCCTGAAGTAGAACTCATTCAATTAGTCAGAGACCTCTGAAAGAACTCCTATTTGCACAGCAATTATGGTAGCTAATCTGGTATTCTTGATTAGCAAAAAAGCATTTCCCAAAAAATTTAAAATGGTTTTATAACATTAATCAGTCTCAAGACTCCTATTTTTGCCAATTTCTGCCAAAACAGCCAGTATTTGCTGTTTTAGTGCTTATTGACTGGGGGGCATGGGCTAAGGTTATTGTTTTACAGTAGCATAAAGTAATCTTAATAATGGAGGCTGAAATCAGCCTGACTGGGAGGAAGTGGCAAAAGCACCCCATTGTGACTGTACCAGGGGCTCCATGCATCTTTGGCAGAGACTCAGGAGAGGGTACTTCAAAGTATCAAAGGGTTTGAGCCGCTTCAGAAGTGACTGGCATTGAAGCAGAGCTCCTCCTGGCAGTTTCTGCCAAAAACCATGTAAGTTTTGCAGTAAAGGTCTCAAACGTGACAGGCAATTACTCCTAGATAATAATTTTTGTAATTTGATACTGAACACAGCTGTTCATGAATCCAATTATAAAACCTTTATTTAGATAAGAAAACTATTTCAATCTATTATGCAAACAGCAAATCACATTTTTCAATCTATTATGCAAACAGCAAATCACACTTTTTGCTATTTGATGAGTAAAGCTGCCACTTAAATATGCTGTTCATCATAAAATTAATATAATGAAGATCCTTTATCAGCTTCAATCTTTCATAATTTGCCTATGAGTTTTAAGCTAAATTTCACCATAATTAGTACATGTATCCAAAACACCCATCATCCACCCCACCCCCATTCCAAAAAAAGCATTCAGAATCAAGTTAGAGTATATTTAAAACACTGCTAAAAATACCGACAGCACTTGTCATTTTACTTCCTTTAATAACTACTTCTCAAACATGTAATATGTTAAAATTCTCATGTCCAGTGGTAGAAAGAGATTTTCCATTGTGTTGTTCTGGAACTGATTCTGATGGCTTAAACCACCTGTTTTGTTCCTTATATACAAATTACATTTGTGTTTTTACCTCTTGTCAGGACTAACGTAAAAAATGTTAGAAATATTACGTCACTTTTATTTAGCTCTCTGTTGAAATGCTGCGGAAGATGCAAGTTCTGCCTCTTTCCATAGTCCCAATGTTCAAGTGTAACAATTTTAAGGAAAAAAGACTATGTAAAATGCCATACACTGGAGGACTTCAATTTTCAGAAACACTGAAGTTGTTCTTTTGAATACTCTCACTCACAATACCAACCCTCCAAATGTTCCATTCTATCTATAAAATAGCAAACATTAGCAACTTTATTTTATTGTTCTCAAAGCCATATTATGGGAATGTCCTCAGAATGTTTCAAATAAAAAGAATCCCCCCCCCCCAATGCAATGAAAAAGACATTATTATGCTTTTAGAATGCCTATATTATAAGAACTAAAATCAGGTGCCTCTGCTGCATTTTCTTTCTATTTTCACATAGCTTCAGTTTTATTCCTATAGTCCTGAAACACACAAATGGTTAAATGAAGAGCTAGAGATTAATTCAGTATATCTCCAGTAAGAGGTTTTCATTAGGGAGTACTTTTAAGTTTAAAGCCTCTCTCTTATGTTTATAGATATTTCCATTGATAGTACAGCAGTTGGGCTAATTACCACAGTTTAATCACAATTACATTTCTTTAGCTATGGGTTAAAATTCTCACTCAGCTAAAATGTAACATTGTTTTCATTTTAGCATTGTTATTTCAGTACACCTATAGGCACATAGCAATTCCTACACGGTACCTTCATTTTGTTTTCATTCATAGATTTCTGAATACGTTGTCTAAGAGGTTTTGGAGAGGATCCATTGGATTGTGCTGGAGATCTATATTAGAAAGAGACAAGTAGTACTTAGAAAATACAAACACAATTATTAAGAAAACCAGTTACTGTACCAAGTCTCTCAGAAACAGAAAGTATCTTTGCTCTCCAAGCCTTACTTTGTTTTCTCCCTTCCTAGGTAACCACATGTACTGTGACAACTAAAGACAGCATAATGAAATCAAACTTACAGTTGCAATTTCTGGTATTTTGCAGTATGTTTACAATATTGTACAGCCACAACCACACTATTATTTGCAATGCTGGTGTTGTGTTACCAGGTCACCATCCCACTTAAACCCCCTTGAACAGCATCTGGTTCACATCCAGAATAATTTTCCTCATATTTACAGACTTGTCAATAGAAATGCTAAAACAAAATGTTTCCATCCTCCTATATTTCAGTATGTGAATAGTTACATACATTAATGAAAAATTCTGACACATATAATGCAACAAAATTATTGATGCATGTAAGAGGGAGGTTTTAGTTTGAAATAAGAACCAATCTGCGCATCTGTAAATAATTACTTCCTCTGTTTATGCTTATGGCAACGCAGTGTGCATATGAGGACAGTTTTTTTCAAAAATCATAGAATGGTTTGGGTGGGAAAGGACCTTAAGATCATCTAGTTCCAACCACCCTGCCATGGGCAGGGACACCTCGCACTAAACCATGTCATCCAAGACTCTGTCCAACCTGGCCACCAGGGATGGAGCATTCCCAGCTTTCTTGGGCAACTCATTCCAGTGCCTCACAGTAAAGAACTTCTTCCTTACATCTAATCTGAACTTCTCCTGTTTAAGTTTAAACCAGTCCCTCTTGCCCTACCACTAGAGTCCCTAATGAAGAGTCCCTCCACAGCATCCTTACAGGCCCCCTTCAGATACTGCAAGGCTGCTATGAGGTCTCCACACAGCCTTCTATTCTCCAGGCTGAACAGCCCCAACTTTCTCAGCCTGTCTTCATATGGGAGGTGCACCAGTCCCTGACCATTCTCATGACCCTCCTCTGGACTTGTTCCAACAGCTCCATGTCCTTTTTGTGTTGAGGACACCAGAACTGGACACAATACTCTAAGTGAGGTCTCACAAGAGCAGAGTAGAGGGGCAGGATCACTCTCTTCGACCTGCTGGTCATGCTCCTTTTGATGCAGCCCAGGACACAGCTGGTTTCTGGGATGCAAGCACACATTGAAGCTGGCTCATGTCAAACTTCTCACCAACCAATGTCCCGAAATCCTTTTCTGCAGGGCTGCTCTGGATCTCTTCTCTGCCCAACCTGTGCCTGGGATTGCCCCGACCCAGGTGTAGGACCTTGCACTTGGCTTGGTTAAACTTCATAAGGTTGGCATCAGCCCACCTCTCAAGCGTGTCCAGGTCCCTCTGGATGGCATCCCTTCCCTCCAGTGTATCAACCGAGCCACACAGCTTGGTGTCATCGGCAAACTTGCTGAGGGTGCACTCAATCCCACTGTCCGTGTCACCGACAAAGATGTTGAACAAGACAGGTCCCAACACCGATCCCTGAAGGATGCCACTCATTACTGGTCTCCAACTGGACGGTGAGCTGTTTACCACAACTCTTTGCGTGCGTCCATCCATCCAGTTCTTAATCCACTGAGTAGTTCATCCATCAAATTGATGTCTCTCCAATTTAGAGGCAAGGATGTCGTGCAGGATAGTGTCGAATGCAGTTGAGTTATTAATAAATAACTCTATTAATAAATACCTCAATTTATTTAGCTCATTATACACAATTTACTGTTTATTTAGCTCATTCTACTCAATTATTAAAAAATAAAATTTTTTAGCCCAATATATTTTATTTATTTTTATTTTTCTGTGGTGCAAAATTTCTGCAGGACCTTGCAATGCTTTTGTTATTTAAATTGCAAAAATATGTAGCTTTAGCATGCTCCTGTCTACACTGCTGTTCTGGTTCATGAGCCTTTATGACCTGTAATAACTAAATTCTCAGCATCCTATTTTTCAATCAAGTGATGATTCCTCAGAATAAGCAACTGATTAAATCACCAGTCCATGGATACATTAGTTTCTTTTTCTGTGCCCACAGAAATGTGTTTTCAAGAGATTCTTTGGTTTGCACACCAGATCAACATGGGTATTCCTTAAATAGAACAAAATTTAAAAAGCAAGAAAAGAAATGAACTGGCATTAATTTGGATAGGATAGGAAGATGATGGCAATGATACAAAAAACAGCAGCAAACAAAAAGTTGCCCCAAACTCTGAATAGCTGTTGAACCTGCAAAATCAGGAAAAGATAACCTTTATGGAAAAAGGTTATGAAAATACTTAATTTCATAGTCATGCAAAATTTAAATCTAGAAATAAATAGTATCATTAATTATATGAGTCTTCTTACTTTGATTTCAATATCACTATGTTTTTATGTTTGCTTAAAAAATTTTAAAAAAACTATGAGAAAAATAGCACATTTCTGCCTTGCATGCAGCTTCAAAATAAAAATAAAAAAATAAAAAAACCAAAGGCAGATATTTTTATTTGCACCTCTATAATGCAAATCAAAAGAATATTTTCCAGACGACTAAAATGAGATGCTTACAGAAGGAAAATGTTTGACGGATATACTAAAAGGCACATTAAATAAGAAAAACTTCATTTGATTAGGATGTTCACTAAGGATGTATTGTCAGGGTTTACATTTTCAGTTCCCAAACACACATGCATTTCACAAATTGCAATGAAAATATTTTTAATTAAAGAAAGCCACCAAAGTTGAACACCACAATAAATGCTTCACAGCAGTAACTTTTTTGCAGGATTTCAGTAAAAAACCTACCCAACTGATTTAGAAGTTTATTAAAAGAAGAGTAAAAAAAAGCAAGAAGATTTCCTGAAATGCTGAAGTTTTGAGAAAGAGGAGTTCTCCTTTAACCTCAGTCTTCACCCAAAGACAATGATCTCTCCAGAACCCAGACAAAGATACCCACAAACTTTAAACATATTTTAGGATATTCCAGTAAAGAAATCTCTAGAAACAACAAAAAGCATTGTGAAAAACCTCAAACGAATAACTACCATGTGATAAAAACCCATAAAACTATAACTACCATATGAGGTGACCAACAATCTAATACACAGAATAAGATTAATTAAAAGAGACTGAAAACTGCAGTGATGCTTACTGCCAAAGGTAGTGCCATTTATCCTGTAAACTGTTCCAGATTTATTGTTAAAAATAGATTGGCAAAAAGTCTGCAAACACGCTATATCAATATTTGAGACATCAGCACTAACAAAAAAGTGCTGTATCAGAGATGTTTGTACATTGATGCAAATCAGAGTGACATCTTAGCTAATATCCCATGTAGTATTAAGGTGTTCGGCATTCATAAAGCAATTGGAACCTTACAGTAAAGCTGCTAGAGAAATGCAAAAACACAGATTTGAGAACAGGTGTTGTTTTCAAGTTTCTTTTTTTATTCCTAAAACATTTAGGATCATAAATTCAATACTTTGAATAAATTACTTCCAAATCAATTTTTTTAAATGGAAGCATATGGTTAATATTAAATATACATATATATACACACCAGAAAATAAAATCTAAACCAAATTGACCAGTAAAAATTACTACGCAAATCACAAGAATTGTCTAGATTACAATATAAATTCTCAAGGAGCAGTACCTGCTTACACCTACACTGAGAAGCAAATGTCTTACCCTTTCAAGAATATTCAAGAAAATTAATTCAGCTGAAAAATCAAATTAGGTAAGTGAAATGAGAGCACTCAGTAGGCACACTTATTAAAAATAAGTGGGTTTAAACCCATTTTAAATTAAAGAGTTGCTTAAAAAAATAATAATCAAGATTTCTAGCTCCAAATAACAGCAGTGTTTAATTCAGAAAAATTCAGGTGAGCCTTGATTCCATTCACATAGAGCATTAACTTAAAACTGATTAAGCTCCTTATCGTTATGATAAAAATACAGCCATAGTGAGGTTTATTAAATTAATGAAGTAATTTAAAAAGTAATGTGGATCAATTTTCCTGAATCTGAAGTAATAGAAAAATAAGAGACTAAAATCAGTGTTATTTTAAGCTTGTTAGATAATCAAATAGAAATGCATAACTACAGCTATCCACAGATATTTGAGAGGTGAAAGAAATATTCTACAACACGTTGTCAGAAGCAGCCTTTTATATTAAAAATTACAGGTTTATTTAGAATTATTAGGGAAACTGATTTTAAGTTCTATTAGAATGTGCTTCCTTTGGTTTCATAAAATATGTTGAATGATAAATCTAATGAAACCCTTGCATTCTTTGACTTTTAGGATCCTCCATCTTCCATTTTAGGATTTGTCACCGTTTTTCTCTTTCCTTGCTGTCATCCTCACAGCCCTGCACCTCCACACACTGATAGTGTTGTTATGGTGGGTCATGGGAAACAACTACCATCAGCATAAGAAACACCCCCATCTTCCCCACTGTTCCTACACTGGGAAGTGTAGATCATCTTTTAACTTGGTGAACCCAAAAACTGCATGCACAGAGCTGATAAGCAACCAGCCACACAGCCCCTGCCCTGATGAACAGATGCTCCAATCACTGCTAAAGGCACCAAAAGCTGGGACAACCAATAAGGGGCAAGAGCAGGTCTTTATCAAGACAATATATTTACCCTGAGAAAAAGACTTCTGGGGAACTAACCACTGTACTACAGAAGATGCTTGTCTTCAAACCCTGGCTGCTTTACTTCTCAGCTAGCCACCAGGGAGAGGTTTTTTCCTTTCCTCTCTCCTTCCTCTTCTTTCGATTTTATTGTTCTCCAAAAGTAACTTTCACCATTAAAGCCAATGTACGTCATCAGCTACAGACCTGATTAATAAATATGCATGCATGTAAACTTGTTTCAGCATTCTTTCTGCAATACTATCCTGACTGGTGGATAAGATAAAATTATTTAAAACTGACTCCACAAAATAATTACTATGTAGATAAAAGACAGGATATTACAAAAAAAAAAAAAAAAAAAATCTCGTGTCATAGCTAGACAAAGGAGGTATCTTCAAATTGACTAGTAATCTAATTAGGTACTGAACAGACAGTATTTGAACTTAGGAGTCTGAACTCAAGAGGTGAGTATTTGGAAGTTTATTGCAATGGTTTTTGTGCAGCCTAGAAAGGTACTAGCTCAAGAAGTCTATACTACAAAACTATCTTGAAGATACAGAAAATGCAATGGGGAGGAGAACTTGAGACTATTCTAAGAATGCTTTCCCTTTACACCTAAATAGGGAAACCTAACCTCAGAATAGCCTGCACTTGGGTCATCTGCTCTGTAGATATAATATCAGTGCTTTGTTAGACACTTAGGAGATCTTTAAAAATAAAAAACAAAGCCAACACAAAAAAAAGTCTTCTAGTACTCACCTGAAGAGTGCCAAAACAGAGGTGATACCAAACAAATTTAAGCTTTCATTGTCATATAATAGTTCTGCTTTGTTCTGGCTGGGAGGATTGACAGCTTCTTCATCCAGAAGAACTAGTAAGACCTTTACAGTATCTCTGCCACAATACGCAGTGCCGTGATTTACAGAATGCAATTTTGGCTGAAAGCAAAAAATCAAAAGGAACACACAACAGGAAAGGTCAACAAGCCATATCAATAGCTCACCTCCAAAAGCAACCCCTATCTGCACAAGGTGTGAGAATACCCTCCTTCACAGTAAGCATTTCTCGGGAAACTGCCCATGGGAAAGTTTCTTGCTCATCCCAAGCAATTAGAAAAGTCTAGATCACTGCCAGCTGGAGGTATACACTGATGAGCAAGTCACACAGATAAATACGCAAATCTGTGATGAAACCATGCAGCAGAAATTAACACATTATTTTCTCACAACCAATTTGAGTGGTATGGGGTACACAAACACATTCTGGTAAAGTCCAACTCCTCTGACTAACTGAATCTGCTAAAGCAGTTGGTTAAAAGTGAGATTTTCATCAAGATTTGACAACAGAGGTACTTGGCACAATCTCCTGTTGTTCGGAACAGGATAGATTCCTCACGATTTTCCTCAAGAATAAAGAATTCCTTGAAAAAAATAACAATCCACATCTGGAAGTGCTCAATGCTACAGTCAGCAGTACAGATGTAGAACTCCATAGCCACTATGGGACTGCAAGAATTGCAAGTTTGCTATATTTTTCTTTAAAAGAACTAGGAGTTCCGTAAAGAAATTTAGGGCTTAACACACAGTAGTAGATTTTAAAAACTACGGGTTTTCTTATTTACTAATACACAGAAATATTGGATAGCCTTACTTGGTTCAGAAGGACAGGATAAGCAATGAACAGCATTTATCTAATCAGCTAACTGCTTTTAAACACAGACTTGAAAAGACCAAATTCTATTTCTCTCTCTATTTGATTACATCAATTAGTGTATGTAGCTTTCAAGAAACCATAGCAACACATGTCAGTCAGTTAGTATAAGTTATAATCAATAGCTAGAAATAGCAATTACAGAAATGGTTGTTACTTGGCTTTACAGAATTGGCCTATTTCAGTACTATTTAATTTCCTCAAAATTTATTCTGAACCTCTTCAGTCATTACATCACCACATCACAGATTTTTATAAAATGTCATGTGTGTCATGGTAAAATTGTCTTAATGAGAAAAGTACAAATTTGGCATCATCTTGACTGATAATACACTGAAGGAGAAAAAAAAAATTAAATCTTTAGAGAATAATATAACCTCCTAACTGCCAGAACATGACCTTCAGAAATCTCATGTAGTACAACAGTGACTTGGTGTACCAGCCACAGACTAAAATCCTATTGTCCAAGGCACAATAAGGAATTCAGGCAAGACAACAATCCCTGCCATAAAAAGTCTTGTTCATTAGGAAGCTTATATTCATAATTCAAATTATTTTTTCAATAAAATAGTTGATCAGTCTTTCAAGGGTAGTGACCATTAGCTACTTCAGACTATTCTGGTTAGCTCCAGAAACACCAGCCACTTTCCATTTACAGTAGTAATTTTCTCAGGAAGAAATTAATCATAATTCCTCTTAGTCACTCATGCAGGCTTCAACACAAAGTAGTGCTTCCTGCTGCATAAAGTCATAATTTTTCCTGGAGCTCTAGTTTCTTATAAAACAGGTATTTGCAGGAAAATTGAGCAACGATGGAAGAAAAGTGCCACTGCCAGGAGAAAAGCAAATATTTTTCTAACAAAGCGACTCTTTTCAGGTACATTTTATGAGGGAGCAGCCTTCCCAGGAGATAGTGGAGGCATAATTTTCAGCTCTGTAGTTACAGTCATATTTTAAATTTGCACTCAAAGAATAATTCAGTCCATGTATGAAAAAAAAAAAAACCCATAACATCCTGTCAAATGCAGAACTTATTCTGAATGAGAATTATTTTTTTTTCTGAAAAATTATAGCATCAGGTTTCTTTATAAAATAAAAACCAAAACACATAAAAAACCAAACCCAAGCTGTATGTGAAATTCAGCACAGAGCATTCATCTTTGCTGTCCTGAGATCTTAATGGAACAATACAGGTGCTCTAATTTTTTTATGCAGCTCAAATTCATTTGGAAAACTTACACGGTTTTTTGTTTGTTTTCTTTTTCAATTAGTAACCTACTCCTTTATATGCTTAGTAAAATGGTCTTCTACACCAAGCTCCGCTAAAATATGCAATATGACACCTGTCTCTTAACATTTGCCTAAGCTCCCTTTTCCACCCCTCATCTCTGTGAATCACGTACTTATCATTACACTATACATTCATCACACAATCTTCACAAGCTTCATTCACATCAACAAAAATTATTCCCCACACCAAAACCAAAATAGCATCATCACAGCACTGACAAAGGCAGACAATTTACACACACTCCACCCCTCGTCCCTTTACCACAATTACAAAAACAAAAAATCTCCACATTTACTGTGGTCTATAGTAATGTTCAGTACACATTTTGCCCAGTACCTCTCCCAGTTAATGTCTTTAATTCAACAGGCCCCATAGTGGTCACCACGAAGGACTGCAGTGGGTTGATCTTGGCTAGCTGTTAGGTGTCCACCAAGCTGCCCAACTACAACCACCACTGACTGGCTCAGCTTTGGCCTGGCTAGCAGCGGGTCCCATCCTGGAGCTGGCTAGCTCTCTCTGACATGGGGCCAACTTCTGGTATTTCTTCACAGAAGATCTTGCAGCCCTCCCCAAAACCTTGCCCCTTACCAAAACCTGGCCATGTAAACCCAATACAGCACTAGATTTGTCTAGCCGAGCAGCATTATCAGTCAGATCCAGACCACAGTCATCTCTGGTGGCTCTGAGTTACACCCATACTGTGGTGAGAATGGATATGCTGTACTGGGTATGATGAAAAGGATTTGCTTAAAGCCTGTCATCCTCTGCTGTGTACTCAAATTTCCTCACTGAGAAGAGCTACAGTAGTATCTGCTCATCCACAAGTAGATGGGATGTTCCGGCAATCAACTTAAACTCAAGAATTGGCAAAAACTTCAACATAGACCCACAGGCTTACAGTAGTATAATTAAATTCATAAGCTGCCCTCAGGTGCCCATTTTGAGAAAAATATTAACTTTACATTGCTCTCAATGGGATTAAGTATTTAACCACATTTCCTAACAGCATTAGGATACAACTGACTTTTCTGTCTTTTCCCTCAACTTTGATAGTGGTAAACATTTCTACAGTCATTAGACTATGAACTTGACCTATGGAAAACAATAAGAAACACGAACGAAATTTTGTGGAATTTTGTGGTTAATTTCTCTAAGGAACAAAGTTTTAGTAAAACAGTTTTACATTACGTATAACAATCCAAAGCTTTTTAAATTTTACCGGTAATACAAGTAGCTAAATACAGACAACTGATGACAGTGATCAATTTTTCAGATGGAAAAGAGAAAGAAATAGAAGGGTATGATAAGGAAACAGGGAAATACAGTGATGAAAGATTCAAAAGAAAAAGCACATAGGAAGCCTGATAAAAATTTGTTTAAATTTTACATTGCCATAAGGCAATTCCAGTGATTTCACAAAACAAAGCATTCTAACAACATGCACACATTCAAAATGTCTATCATTTTTAAAAAGTTTCCCAGATAAAAATACATGGAATTGGATAGTTTATATATCAACAACGTAAAATAAAATAATTAAAGCTAGTTGATGTTTTCATCACAAAAGAGATCATAATATAAACTTGAGTAGATTCAGGTTTAAGTACAAAAACACACAAACAGAAAATATGTATTCTGTTCTCCACACTTGATAAAGAACTTTAAGTGTCCTAATTCCTTCTATGAAATTAAAATCATTAATAGTTTCATTACGGTCTTGAAACACTAATAGAGAAAAACTTAGACATTGGTTGTTTGGGGGTTTATATTTACTCCTCTACGTTTCCACATTTTCCCACGTTTTGGAATTCTTATTTACCTTGTTTTGAATGCCTTAGCCTTGGAAATATTGATGCTGAGCTAATTAAAACCTGTGTATTCTAATCAAAATTACATGTTCTCAAATCTTAATTCCACTTCCATGAGGTTTTTTATTTGGAAATCTGCTACAGCTCTATTGGCTTGAAATTAGTGGCAAACATCATGGTTATAAGTATCTACATCTACAACAGCTATACAATAAATTAAGTTTTGAAGAGTATTTTATTTACAATTTTGAGGTAAGAAGTTTAGTTTAAGTAAATCAGCTTTTTGAAGCCCACACTGTAATCCTCAAGTCTTTCAACAAGTTTAAAACCACAGTGTAGAGGAAATGACACTTCTCTCTACTGTTTGCAAAAGATAATACTCTATAGAAAGTCTTTTAAAATATAAAGAAGAAACTAAACAGGCAAAAGACATTTGCTTTCTTATAAAGCTAAACAGTAAAAAGAACAAAAGAAGTCCCATTACCCGTTCTGGACTAAGTCCAGTAGTGCTGGCAGTCAAGGCTTCATGTTGTGAATCGATAATATTTTTAATCTTCAAATCCAAATCTTGTACAACTTCCTTTACTGCCTGACAGAAAGGATCCCCATTGCTTCGGCCTTTTATCAAATGCATCTTCACTGTTGACAGAATTCGCCCCCCTGCGATTCTGAAAATAGGCACAGGGTCATCTCCACATTAATCTTGGCAGCACTTTAGTATACCTATTAGTGTTGAACATAGCCAGTCTTCACAGTTAATCAAAACGCTTCAGAGAACAGCTTTGATCTTTTAAATAATCAAACAGCAGTGTAGAAGTACTGTCCAACATAATAGTTTGCTTAAAAATATTATAAGGAAAGGTAATGAATTCATAATGAGCCCAACAAAAAACTGACTTCTCCATAAAAGTTCAAATACAAGTACTTTCTTTAAACCTACAGTTACTGTTTTGCTCATAAGCTCGTAAGTGGAAACAAAATGTTTTACTGGAAGATGAATTCCAATTTAACAGCCTATTAGATTTTTGAGTCTTTTCTGCTACATGAAAGTACTTCAAAATATCAATCTCCTTTCAATTTTATTGAAATAGATAGTAATTAGACAAGATAAACATCACTGTTTGCCACAAAGTGCACGCTTTTTTCATTAACTACAAAAAATGGCTACAGGAAAAACTTAGTAGTTTAATTATGAAGTGTCCATGCAGTTTGACATCAAAAACAAAAATAATTGGATCTGATTGATATAGGCTTTATTTCAACACTTACAGAAGGATGAAAGGGCATTTGTGAGTGCACCTGAACTATGTTTAGACCATTAATTTCATTTCATGGTCCTGTACCTTGAACCATCCACATTGCATGTATGATAGACTCCATCTGGGATCACTTTTGGATTGGAATTACCAGATGTCTTCCCAGTGAAACTCTTGAGTGATTAGCATTTACAGTTGTACAGATAATGCTCCAATAGGCAGTATTGAGAGAATTATGCTATATCTTGCTCCCTCACACTTGCAAGATCCACATATTATGTAAAAATGGAAATATAGCAGGCTGCCAGGCAGACTACATCATTCTGAGTATGCAAAGAAAAAAAAAATAAATCCATTCTTGCAGGTTCACAGGAAAACCCAAAGATTTTGTGTCAAAAAAAAAAAAAAAAAAAAATGGCCACAGAAACTGAAGTTCTTTTAACAGTGCACCTTGTTTTACCTAGACCTGGTGAATGAGAAGAAGCAGTTACAACTCCAAGAATTCATTCCACTGGCCATTTATAAGTGCATCTTTCCACTCAGGAGTTGAAAGTGCTCCCCTGAACAACAGTGCTCACAATTAAGAAAATCTATAAATTAGCTCTAATTCATAATTTTTATAATTGATTCCCTCTCATTTTACTTTTTCATGTCCAGAGGTTTTTTCACCTTTGAATACCAGTTAATAACACATGTAAGAGTAAAGGAAGAAATAAAATCATAACAAGAGGCATAAAGGACCCATTCTTTTAAAAACTCAATTCCCAGGAACAATAGGTAGAACTGTTTCCCAAAAATAGCCTGAATTGAAATTAGAGATTAAGACAGCACTCAGGAGAAGCGTCATAAACATTTTCTCTATTTTTACAAGGCATGTATTTATTGCCCGTGTCAGAGACAAGCTCCTGAGTGCTCATGGATCCTTCTTTTGAAGTTGTACAATCAGGTTTCATACACTTGAAGTAACATAGATTCTCTTCAGTGATAGTAGCGGCTCAAAAGATTAAACGAAAACAAGCAAAAAAAAAAAAAAAAAAACAAACACCCCAAAAATACAAAACCCAGCCTTCTAGTCCCAATGTTTTTGACAAAAACTTCCAATGAAGCTAGATATGGCTGCAATGCTACGTTCACTTATAAGAATGCCTTCTGTCAGCTTTGGGGTTTGTGGTGGTTTTCTGGTTTTCTTTTT